AACACATACAATAAGAAAATTTTCTTTTAAATGCAAATGAAGAAAATAAGTAATAACCAATTTACATACAAGAAAAAAAATCATCCACCTAAAAAAACTCAAAACTTCTTAATTTGACCAATTATTAAATGTAAGTATACCTGGGATGATGTTCCTCCAACGACCTCATGTTCCATCTACATCATCTGCTATGACATGTTGACCAAAATTAGAGGTTTAGAAGGATTGACCAATTAAGAGGTAACATATCAATCAAGATAATATTTGATAAAAATTGATTGAAAACACTATCAAACAACTAAATATAACACAATTAAGGCTTTAATAACAGAGATGGAGATGGAGAAGAGAAGCCTAACTTGGTAGTTTAGAAGCAGGCATATGTGAAGTTATTGTTCATCATACATCCAAATATCGATTATATCATCAAACCATAACAAACATCAGCTTCCACCTTTTCTGAGGTCTAAACTTGTATAACCTATACAAGAGCAATTCCTTTTGCAAGTCTGCTTCACATCCACCAAATGAATGACACATAATATGAAAATCAAAACAAAAGGAATACATTTAAGCTTAAATCCGCAAAGGGAAAAAACCCTTAATAAAAGGATAAAAACATATCATAGACGAAAAATGGAAGCATGTTCTTTCAATGAAAAAGGCAGATTATGATTCAGATTTGAAAGGGGTTGGACTTTCTAGTAGAAACCGGTTGTTTGAAATATTTAAGCAATAAGTAATCTTAGGAACACAGTAGCCAAGCAAGGAGTATATACTCAGGTGACAAACTTACCTCGATAGACACCTATATCGGAAAAAAAAATCACAATCACAAACCTTAAAAAATTGCAAACCCACGATTACATCAGTATCATAAAGTCAAAAAAACAAATACATAATCATCTCACCTTAGTAGCTTGGGGTTTGCTTGAGGCAATTGAGACAAACCATGATTAAGGAAGACCTTGAAGATAGTGACCGGTAAGAACGACGATTTAGGGTAAGATGGATGGTGGGTGGCGATGGTGGCAACAGTGGCGCGAGGATGGTGCAGTGTTATCGTCGACGGTGGTGTTGTAGCGACAGGGGATCCTTGCAACAATAAGGAAAAGGTGGGAATTACAGCAAAATACAAAGACCTTCAACAGATTATTCAGCAATGAATTTCTTATTTTTTTGGTTGGGTAACTATCTTCATCAAAAGACCAACTTCAACACTGCGTGCTTCTAAGATTAGAGAGAGAGAGAGAGAGAGAGAGAGAGAGAGAGGATATTACCGAGACCTTGTATAGATATTACTGTTAATCATAATTAGTTAAGAGAGAGATATGAAGGAGGAAGAGCAACGACAATGAGGCAAAGCAGTGATGGTGTTGTGGTAGAGAAGAAGGCAAATGAAACCAGTAGTGGTGGAGGAGAAGAAGGCCAGTACTGGTGTAGGAGCGATGATGTTGAGAAGAGATATTTATCTTTTGAATTTCAAACTGACAGATTTTATTTGGTTTCCAAAGAGAGAGGCGAAATTTTTGGAAATACAACTGTGATTAAGGGATGACCATGTATAATTTTAAGGGTGAGCTTTTAAGGGTGAGCGGGAAAACCAAAAAAGAAGTTCACATACAGATGACATGTGGAAAGTATAGTGACAGAAAAGTGTCATGTGACATTTTTAGGAGTCTTTTATTAGAAGAAGGATATATATATATATATATATATATATATATATATATATATATATATATATAATAATGATAAATTCTAGAGAAAATAGACAAAATGTATAAATTTCATTAAGAGTCTTTCAAAGGATTTAGGCAAAGTTAAAGATAGAACACTATCAATTTCTCAGATGGAGAGTATCTAATCGTTAAATGGGTTACGAAATCATTAAATGGGCTTAGAAATCGCTAAACAGAATGCGAAATTAGGTAAACTTTTTGCAAAATGGCCATAAATAATATCCCGTATAAAAAAACACTCTCTAGAAAACTTCAAAAAAAACCATTTTACACCATCAAAACTCTCTTTTGCTAGGAAAATAACCTTTGAAAATCCTTAACATAAAAAAAGATTTTTTTTTCCGAATAAAAACCTAAATTTATTATTTTGTAGATTTGTTTGTAATTTTTGTAGATTAAAATTATAATATAATTTTTTTATTATGAAATTAATTTTTGAAGATATTTAAAATAAAAAACTTTTAAAAAATTATTATATTTAAACATTTTAGATTTTTTATTTTAAATATTGTTTTGGCTATCTTAAAAAAAATCTTAAATTGCTTTTCCTAAATCTTAAAAAAAAAAAAAACCTTATTATAGTCTAATGATTTTCTACGACTCCTACGTCAGTCAACTAATCTCGATCAAGAAATTACTCGTTTCGCCCAAACCGACTTCCATAATCTATTTCTACGATTCTACGGCGGAGCAAGGTTAATTGCAGATGGAGGAGACCGGTGTGGCCATGTCGGAGAAGACAGATACTACTAGTAGCAGAGACAGCGCTTCAATGGAATCGACGATGGAGAGATTGTCTCATTTGGAGAACCTCTACTTTCCTAGGGCTCAACAATCCTCCGCTCTCCTTCCTTCACAACGTAAATCTATCCTCCAAGATCTTTACTCCCGCGACGTCCCTGTGTTTTTAGGTAATTTCAATTTCCTATTACCCATCTCTAATTCTTTCTTCAAATTTATATTTCAGTATTACCCGATCACTTGTTTTTCTCCTCTACTTTTAATTGCTTGATCAATATCGAATTAGAGTTTACATTCGTTACCTTTACGAATTCACTTCTATAGACACAAAACCATGAAGTTTGTTCACTTCATATAATATGTTTGATATATTGCAGTTGTTAGTTTAAGGCATTGGTTATCTGTATAACCTAACTTAGTTATGAAATTTGTTCATGCTTTAAAGTTTGCTATTGTTAATTTACATTCATCTTGTATGCATATTCAGAGCGCTATGGATCACTACTAACATTGGAAGAGCTTAAGGAATTCGATACATTAAGTGATGATTATGAAATCAATTGGCATCTAAATCATCTCCGAAGCTTGATTAATCCAACATCCTTGGATTTGAAATCAAGATCTGCAAAGGTAAAGAATCGGAGGCGTGCTTACATGGATAAACTGATGTTTGATGGGAAATTCTTCTCTGAGGATGCAATGAGGGATAGAGAACCTTATCTGCACCATGAATTTGTGGGGAAATTTCAAGACCAAAGTGGAAGACGCATGGCTAGGCCTGGAGAAAGGTGGTCGGAGACATTGATAAGGAGGGCTGAGGAAGCACTTTTGGTGGAGAAGATTAGGAGGGAACAGCAGAGATTGGGTGTTGATGAAAGAGAGTGGGTGGGGAATGAGAGACAACAAGAAGAACAAGAGGAAGAAGAAGAAGAAGAGGAAGAGGAAGAGGAAATGGAGGAAGGAAATGATGGTGATGCTAATGTTAATGGAAAGATGCATCAACGTGAGGTAATTCTTTTCTTTATGTTTATTGAAATACCTTGTGATTTGTTGTTTCTTATTGTCGGGTCTTAAAGAATATGATGATAATCTTGAAAGTTGTATTTGATTATGATAATAAAATGGTTCTTGAACATGGTTGGTTTTTGTTCTTTTAGGTTCTCCCAGATGACAAGGGTAATTTAGTCAATGCACAATCATCAGAAGCTACAAGTATATTATCAACCGAAGAGATGGAAGATCGAATGGATCAGTTTACACATGTGATGCAACAAAAGTTTCTTGCAGGTGAAGATGATGAACATTTTAATTACTTGAGTATAGATGAAGATGAGACATTGGATGATCATTGGATGAAGGAAGCTAATTATGATGCTGAAGAGAAATACTTTGCTGATGTTTGAAAAGTCAAAGCCTCTTCCCTACTTTTTTTTTTCTTTCAAATTTGGTAGATTTCTGCTTTTTTGGGGTGTGTTTTTTTAATCTGTAATGATGTGTAAATTAGATTGTTATTTTAGTAATATGGTTTTTATATTCATATCGATTTTGGTTCATCCACCATTTTGTCTTTTATCTCATTTATCCATTAATGCTTCTTCTATGTACTCAACTAGGAGTTGCGAACTTTGCACAATTTTGCAGAAAGCCTGGATTAAATAAATAAAAATAGCAACATAATTTTGGATTGATATTATAAAATACAGTTAAAACATATTGATTGGAGGCAGATTTGTAGATATAAGATTATTTTATTAGTTTATTTGAAGTTGTTAACTCTTTTATACGTATAGATAAGAAATTGTTCGAATTCCGTATTTGGTGAATAAGACGATATTTAGAGTATCAGACTCAATTGAAAACGAAAACACAATTTATTAAATTCTTGTGTATTCAAACGTCCTTAAAGCTTCATATTTCAGCAACATGTTGTACAAAAAACGTACTTTATAATGATAATGAAAAAAACAGTGCTTCATAACGATATAAAAGACGAATTTTGAAAGGTTGGGTTGGGTTATCAATGTTTAACCCATATAATTAATAGGTTGGATTGAGAAATATATAAACAAGTCAACTTTATAAAAATGTGAAAAGATTGGGTTTGGTTCAAAATATCAACCAATATAAATAAACATGATTTAGTTGAAATCTTCAACCCAATTATTAAGTGGGTTGAACTCGAATCCAATCCAATTCGACCCGTTACCAGCTCTAATTTTCTTGGTGTTTCGTAAAATTACGGTAGTTATTCGTGAAATCATGTATCCCAAGAATCAATGCATTAATATGTGAAGTTGTTTTGCAAAATTAATAAAATTCAGAAAATATTCATGAAATTATTTTTGTCAAGAAAAAGCTATCTTTCGTGAGACCACTTTTATAAAACTGAAAGTTAATTTTTCACACATTTAAAATAAACAAATAAATAAATTATTTAGTTTTAGTGTGTTAGGTTTCCATTTTTAGTAATTTTGTGATTAGATATCACTAACGATAATCAATGACTTCTTGACTTACCCAACGACTGTTTTCTTAATGTCCATGAATTTGCAAGAATCCTCCTAGGGCGAACTTCGCACACGATACGATTTCTCCCTATCCCTTCTGTGCTCCCGCCGGTATAATCCCTCCGCCGACGCCATCATGTACATATAAACGCACTTGTTAAACTCAATCCCTCAAACGTCAATTTCCGAGTGAGACAATGAATTTTACTTCCTTTCTTTTCCATCACCAATTACACCCAAAACCCTAATTTCTCCATCTCAAAATCATATTGCCTGCTGAAGGATTAGGCTTTGTTTTTTCAACGAGATAGAGACAGGGAAGAAGGATAAAATGTACAGGGAGAGAGGTGGAGGAGGATCGAAGGCGAAAACGGAAACGGCCATGGCTTCGATTGGAGGCGAAGGGGGATCACGAATGGATGGAAAAGATCGTAACAAAGACCGTTTATCAGCTGGGGACTCCAGGCTCTCTGTGTCATCTTATCCCGATAAGAAACCGACTAAAGGTTTTTCTTTTCTCCCTCTCTCTCGAGATTCGTGCAATATCATTGTTAAAAAAGCCGATTTCGTAGGTTATACTTATGGTTTTAGCCATTTATCTGTTTTCGTACGATTGTATGCTTTTGGTAACCAAATGAGCTCATTGAACTGCATCAAATATTGGTAATATCAATATGAGGCAGTTTTCTTCATGTGAAATTGCAGTCTTTTGTTTAGATGATAGAATATGAAGAACGAGATGAATCTATTTGTTATGTTGTGAACATGAGAAGTAGATTACGCAGCTCTTCCATTTGATTTTAGTTGCAGACCTGTTATGGGAATGGTTGACAATGGAAAAGTAACATACTTGATTTTCATCCTTTAATAACATTTATATGGATATGTAGGAGAGGAAAAAGTGGTAGAGGAATCCGAAACAGACAGTGAGGAGGAGGAATCAGATGTTAGTGGTTCAGATGGGGAGGAAACATCTTGGATTTCATGGTTTTGCAGTCTACGTGGCAATGAATTCTTCTGTGAGGTTGATGATGACTATATTCAAGATGATTTTAATCTATGTGGATTAAGCAACCAAGTTCCATTTTACGATCATGCCCTTGATCTCATCTTGGACTCTGAATCCTCTCATGGCGATTCCTTTTCAGAGGAACAAATTGAACAGATTGAATCAGCAGCAGAGACTCTATATGGTCTGATACATGTCAGATTTATCTTGACAACAAAAGGATTAGCTGCTATGGTAAGAAGTATTTAAAAATTTTTATTTTTCTTCAAAATTAATACAGTAAATAATAATAATCTTTGATGATAGCTTGAGAAATACAAAAACACAGAATTCGGAAGATGTCCAAGAGTCTTCTGTTCTGGTCAACCCTGTCTTCCTGTTGGTCAATCTGACATCTCACGCCAGACAAGTGTCAAAATTTACTGCCCTAAATGTCAAGACATTTTTACCCCTCAGTTCAGGTTTCAAGATAGTATCCTTTTTTAACTTCTTTTTTAAATATTTTATGTTTGTGGAAATGTTTTTCTTTAACAAGATGTAAAATAATAAGACCTTGATGGAGCTTTTTTTGGGACAACATTTCCTCACTTGTTCTTTTTAACGTATGGACACTTGAAGCCACAAAAGACAACGTTGCAGGAATATGTTCCAAGAGTATTCGGTTACAAAGTCCACAAGCCATGAATCAAATCACATCATATTCATACAATAACACCATAATAAGATTTTATTTTATTTTTTTTCTATCATATGTAACGAAAAAAATTAAATTAAGTTCTGTTGTTATTGATTATATTATTGTTGATTTTGATTCTGTGATATTTTAGTTAGGGTTGATGTCACTAAACTTCTAAGTATACATCATAGATTGCTCAACTTTCTAATTTTGTATTTTATTTTAAAATTAAGGTTATTAAATGGCAACGAGCTTTAATATCTATGTAAAAGATATGTAAACATGCTCATGAGTCATGCCACGACTTGACCTTTTTCTTTTTAAAAAAGAAAATGATGGAAGAGGATTCGAAGTCAAAGTTGTGTAAGTGGCTCGGATTTTTTTCCCTTCCTGTTGAATGATTTCAAATTTCAAATTTAAATAAACATGGGGTTGATCATAAACATGATATTCTTTTTTAACTCGAAATAAATGTGTTTTGTAACAACTCTTGTGTATCTTATTACGTAAGATTTATTGCAATTTGCTTCCATAATTCCAGTTTATATGTTTTTTCGGGTTTTATGATTATTGAAAAGAATTGTTAATATTTCTAGCAATGTTTTAACAAACCGGTTTTTTAGTTGAACCGGTTTCTAGAATTTTCCTACATATATATAAATTAAAAAAAAAACGCATAACAATGAGTTTTACAACAATCTAGATTTATCAGAAGGAAACATAAAGTATAACACCAAAACAATATATAATCTTATTAGATGGATTATGAATATAAATGTATCATGATCAAACCAAATTATGGGTTTTGAGACATTGGAGTTTTAAATGTATCAATCTCAGAATTGTTTAGTAAGTGAAATTTAGTATCAACTTCATCTTAATAAAAGACATTGCCGCTTGCTCATCAAAACCGATTCAATAGAGGCTTTTTAATGATTCAGTATAACCAGTTCAACCAGGTTTTTGTAAAATCTATCTGGTTTGTTCCGGTCCATAAATAGGCTTAAAACTGTTATTAGTTGAAGCACTATATTCCCCGGACCCGATCCAACCGGCCGATTCGACCTGGTTTTTAAAACATTAGTTTCTAAACATTGTCTTCATTTCATCTTTTAAAGGATGACTATCTTTGTGATGATTAAAAAAATATTGTATCTAAAATCTTCGATATTCTTTACCTAATCTTTACACTTAAAGACTTGGGAGGATAACCAAGTGTTCTTCATGTACATATTTAATCACTTTTTTTTTGTACATCATATATCATTAAATTGACAAATATGTTCAATAAACATTTTTTTACATGTAATAGCTACATCTTTTATTGATAACCAAGTGTTCTCCATATGCAAATTTGGCCACTTTCATTTTTTTGTACACTATAAGTCCTCAAACTCAACTAGTTTATCAAAAAGACATCATCATCATTGACTATTGTCTATACCGTACTTGTTTGGATGGAATCTTCGACTATCCTTTTCAACCCAAGTCAACAATATGATACCATGTCGATCGAAGGATGAAATACCGACTATGTCTCCCCCCCTCTTACCTATCCAACTCAGATATGGAGGTGTACTCTGAATCATTGTGTGCCCTAATTATATGATAGATGTTTATTTCTCGAATTAATTCAAAGTAGGAAGCTTTGAACAAAAGATTATAGCTTTTGAAAGTGTCATGGACGTGTACAAAACCAAACTTCCTGAAATGTTTAGTTCAAAACCTCATGGCTTCCATTTCATCTTTTTTCATCCTCTTCAACTTCAAATGAAGTTTAAGTACAGTTGTATGATACCACTCATTTCAAAGTTTGAGATCAATTCATTCCCCAAAATAACAAGTTTTCCTTGGATCATACATAATGATTAACAAACAAAAGTATACATATAAAACGTAACGATTATCAGACAGTTTTACCAAATGAAAATTTTCATAAGCTAACAACCAGTATTTTAGCTAGTCCACCAAACATAACTTTAGATAGTGTGAAAATGTTATTATCGGTCTCTTAATGATTTCTTAGCCAAAATGTTATATTTTATTAAAAAGTTTACTAACTATTTGTACTTAGAAACTCATCAAAGTACATGAATTGACACATATTCTGTTTTCTTAGAAATGTATTTTTTTCTCATAAAAGCACAAAAAAAAACGACATTTATTTGATGAGGATAATAAGTATATATTATTTAGATAAATACATATGAAGAATCTAACTTTTACAGAAGAGGATATCTATTCAGCTTCCATCATGTAGAAGTATGAGAGAAAAAATAATTCAAATTCTGTTTTGAGTTGTCAATTTCATGATTCTGATTTTGTTTCAGAAAAGGAAAAACATTCCAATTGTCATTCATTGCATATCAATAATTGATTCAATAATATAACCATTTGTTCCGATAAGATTTACATACTTTTACTAAGGCAAAAAAAAAAAAACATTTAATCATAAGAAACAATTATGTTGTGTTCTTATACTTTACTATTTTTAGAGAATGATAGATTAAAAATAGATATGAATCAAGACATTTTTTACATGATATAGTTATATTATGTGTGGATTATTATCACCACTATCTTGTGAAGCTCAACTTTTTTTTTTCTTCTAAAGTTTTAATGTTCGAAGCTTTAAGCTTTGATAGAGTATAATTGTTGGATATGAATCATAGAATTAATTCCCAACACAACAAATAAGCCAAATATAAAATGTTAAGTTCATAGTTTGTAAGGTTAAATATTTTGTAACTCTCAATATATCACAAAAAGAGCATTTATAAACAAAAAGAACAAACAACAAAAAGTAGTTTTATTCGTTTAATGATCCTATCTTAAAATGCGTTCAGCCTAGCCGTAAGGAACTCTCAATTGAGAGATTCTAGGTTCAAGACTTGTTGGATCATATATGGTAATTTAAGAATAGATTAGTTTGTTGTTAAAAAAAATATAAAATAATTAAGATTTACATTTTTTCTTTTTCCACATCACATTAATACTTGTTAAACGTCGTGCATCTAGATGGTTTAATTTGAGAATTTTATATATGATTTGTAAACTCTTGATATTGAATTATATACTTATATTTATCAATAATACGTCAATCAATGGGCATAATAACAAAAAGTGATGATTAAAATAATGTGACTAATGCATATGAGCATTGAGGCCCATATGACCCTAATTAGAGACAATGTATTGTGGCTTCTGTCCATGTCTGTTTGGCTTCTTCTTCAAAAGGCCATATAACCAAACTAGTCTCCCATAAAACAAGGATATTACCTAAAATTCAATATATTTATCAACTAATAAAAGAAATCATTTGTAGTATTCAAGATGTGAGGGTGTCATTTTTGTTAGGTTCGGAAGGATAAAAATGTTTCTGAAATTGATATGAATTTTGGATATGTTTGAAGGATCGTGTAACCACTTTCTGAATATGATATTTCAGCCTTATGTTTGAGTTACACGAAGTCCAAATTATGTAAATAATCCTTCAAGGAACAATTATGTATCAAGACACTGACATGAGCCCACAAATTAGGGTTTATAGAAATCAGATTTTGATTACCAAAGATAAGATCAATAAACATTAAGTGTTGATTTTATCCCATAAATAATGAATGATGGTTTCAAGTTAATTATCAGAAAATACTATTTGAAAATAATAATTTTCATACTACTTTCCTAAATGAAATAAATTTCTGAACGGTGAGTTGTCCCCTTGACCACCGTCATTTGGTTGTGTAAAAACGTGCACTTTGCACCTCTTAACTTGTAAATAAAATCAAAAATTAAACTTTATTGGTAATCTATAAATTCTATTATACCAAAATGGCCTAGTGACACTAAAATCACCAATAATTTTTTTGTTAAAAAAAAAATTAACTATAACATACCAAATATATGAGTTCGTTTTGGTTTCGCACAAACTATGTACATTGTTCTCAGTTTTGATTTTTAATAAGTTTAATTGCTCTAAAATAACATTTCAATTATGACTAGTGTCTAAAGGCATTTGTTATTTTGAGCGAGTACAACTAGCATGTGTCAAAGAATTCAATTCGTATTTACCAAGTTATTTTGGGATAAAGAATTACCTTTCAAAAATGTCAAATTTGTAGAAGTGCGAAGTGTCTGGGGCTGTTTTTACAGAAATCAGACATACTGGAGTCATCTCCAGCCACTGCCAACCCACCCTCCGAACCACCGCCGTGGCCAGCCCTAGCAGCACCGATCAGCACCATTTTTACTCTTATTTTCCCTCCCTCCCTCACTCACTTAAACACACACACTTCTGAATTTCCCCTACCTCTTCGTAATAAGATATAGTCAGTTTTGACTTTTTAGCCACTAAAATCAGCCATTATTTGCTTGAAGAAATTTAATTATTTCTTTTCTTTACATTTAATTTATTCAGCTTGTATTATTTTTGGGCTAATAAAATTTTGGTTTATATTATTGTTTTTAAAGCCCAAATATTAATTAACTTAGTTGTAAAATTCTTTTCAGCCCAACGTGGTTATTTCTTCCAAAAGTACTTAAAACGGCATACCTATTTCCTTTTATTTTTCTCTATTAAATAACGATAAAAAAACCCAGTTGCATCTTTTGAAACTTGACTCACTATCCAGTTTATTGGGATGTTACAAGGACTGTGAGCACACAATTGCTGAGTGCTGACATATTGTGATGGTGGAATTTTGGAGAACTCTAGATGTGTGAATGGTTGAGATGCTCTAAATAAATATGTTTTTGAATGAAAAACTTGATATATCTTGTAAAGAATTGGCTAGACATCAATAATGTTGGATTGGGAAATGGATCCCAGACCGTGGTGCCAACTTTTTGCGTTGGTGTCAACGGGGTGGTTGAGGGTTTACAAGATGCCTTCTCGTCCTGTAGGGTTGAATTTTATTGTAATATGTCGAATCTGTGTGATTGTCTTTTTCGTATGTTCATTATGTATTTTACTAAGGCATCAGTTTGTACGAAACGTGAATGTCTAGCCTTAGTATATTTTTTGTACTTTCAGCCTCTTATAAATAGGAGCTGAACATAGAGTAGATGATAGAGTTTTTCCCGGTTTCTATTATCAGTTGTACCCGTGTTCATTGGAAGTAATGAGAGCTTAAACCATACCTTATTTACTTCTCGTGTTCATT